CAGGTCAAACCTGGGTTGCCTTGGTGAGAGGCGAGCGCTCTCACTGCTATGCCATCCATGCTTCCTATAAACTGATTTCAAGATGCTGAAAAATGCGTCTTTCTTACCCACAAATGCCACTCACTGAATTAACAAGAATGTGATGATTTTGGAGGAAGCATGCAACATGCAAAACCGCTAGCCCCACGTTGAAATAGGGTTTTTCATTGCTGTCAATCACAACTAATCAGTCAGTACCTTTCAAAATTTTGATCAGGACGGCAGTGAAAAACCAAACTTCAGCATGCAGCTCATAGCTAATGACTTTGCATGGTTATGAAAATAGCAGTTAACGATTTTCAATTTGGCAGAATCTGGTATGTTGACAAGACTGTTGTTTTTCCTGAGATACGACTGCTGTGCTTGTCCTGCTTACAGGGTAAGTTTTCAACACCCAGCACTTAGGCGTGAATCAGATTAAGGGAGAGGGGCCTGAAAACTTCAGCATCATTTTGGGTGCTTTCTATTAAGTTGCTTAGGGGCCAGTTTGGGTTGCATCGGTATAGATCTAAGAACTGATGCATACCATTTCAGAACTGGCAACTTGGACCAATTGGTTTAACTTAATGAAAAGCACCCTGTTACGTCTCACCAAAATGAAAGGGGAGTAGGGGTGCCGAACCTTGGGCCCACCCTTAAACCTTTCCATGACAATAAACATGTGAGTTAAGACTAAATGTTAAAAGAACCTTTATTTCCTGCTCTTCTTATTCTGTACAAATAAATGATCTTGCATTTAAACAATTATTGCTTCAAGTCGAGGTATTGGGGTCAATAATACGAAATGTATAGGAACTGTCCCAAATGCAACAATTGTTTTAATGCAATAAAGTGTTATTAAACTCTACTATTGCTACTTATATTTTTCCAGGACAGAATGTTGCTTTTGATCATAGCAAATGCTGTCAACTGGATGTTGTAAGTACTTCATAACGATTTAATTTGTAACATTTTCATTGTATCAGTTTTGTATAACATTTTAAAACCACGAACTGTAACTGTTTGTAGTGTATTTTGGAATATAACATTGTACAAAATGATAAATATAACATTACTGGAAATGGTATGGGATCCAGCGAACGAATTGGGTTCCTTCATCAAGTAGCTGATTTGCAACGGGAGTAAAGTTTGTCTGGATCTTTACTTGCTGCTGGTGTACTTAGTGACAGCCTTCGTTCCTTCACTTACTGCGTGCTTCGCCAGTTCACCAGGAAGTAGTAATCGAACAGCTGTTTGGATCTCTCGGGAGGTTATGGTTGATTTCATGTTATAGTGTGCTAATCGCGACGCCTCTGTTGCCATACGTTCGAATATATCGTTCACAAACGAATTCATTATGATCATGGCTTTGCTTGAGATTCCGGTATCAGGGTGAACTTGTTTTAGAACCTTGTAAATGTATATAGCGTAACTTTCCTTTCTCTTTCTAGATCTCTTCTTAGTGCCCGTTATGGCAGCTTTTCCCCCAGCTTTCTTCTCGCCTTTCTTTGCAACTTTAGCGGGCATGATGGGACTTTCTGCGTTTATAGATAATTATGAAAGTGAACAAATTCTGGCTATTTATCTGATCAAAACAACCGGATCAATTGATATGCGGATCGAAAATACTCCATTGTCATTGGTGAATAATGAAACTTACTTCAAAGGAAACAGCTTAAAACAGGTATATAAAAAATATGACATGACGTATACGGGTTTTGGATCAGACGGAACTGAACATACCTTATATAAGTATCAACAGTAAATTTAAAATGTTTCTTTTAGGAATCGCAAAGGATAATAACAATCATGATCTCTGCTTTTAAAAATGCTCAAATATATTATTGTGAAAACGAAAATATATTTCATTTTCTGCCACAGGTATCCCACTATTAGGCATTGCAAATTGTGTTGTATGCAGTAACTTGTTCCACATATATAGTAGTATTTCGTGAATGATGTATTGTCATATTAAACTAATTTTGTCATATTCGTATTGGTATTTGTGACTAATTTCAGCTTTATTGTGAGATGTTAAAATTATTTCACTTGTTTTAAATAAAAATAAAAAATTTGAAGTAAAAACAAAACAGTATTAGCCTGTGTAGTCTAGTCCTGTATTAATACCTAACTGAATATACTAATGTTTTTTTCATAATTTAATGAATTTACTGTGGAGTGCATACTAGAGTGCAAACAATTAATAGCGCAGCCGTGATGTCATAAAAACGAAGACAAAGGCGAAATTCGGACAAACAAACTTACAAGTTTACTTTCAGCAGATAATTTTCACAGCCTATCGCAGTTGATTTTAGTTTACATGGGCTATTATTGTAACTTTAAGTAAAAATAATAAAATCGGTTCGTATAATCCTCGTAGCGGATAAAAAGAATGCAATGTTTGTCCAAATCTTTAAGCTATTTTTAGAATCAGCATGCTGCGCTATTGGTGAAACACTAATTACTAAATAGTACAAAATAGTGCAAATTAAACAATGGAATTTGCATGAAATTGTGCTATTTAATTTTACTAATAGCGCATTATCCCCTATCGTTTGTTACGACAGTTTGCCGGTCGTATTCATTGCCATTGCATGCTTGCTCGTTGGGCTCGCCCTAGCGACGTAGCTGTTTCGACAGCGGCTGCACACCGCCTGCCTCATTCTTCCTCGCTTGCTACAACGGTTTGCTTGCCGTATTCATCGATAGCGTTCTACTCATCGTTACGTTCTAGCGACTTGTAATCGTTGCCCTGATATACGGACATAGTTCGCTCGATTATCGCCTACACAATAATTTTGATGTCGTGTACTGCTGTTATTACCGTTGGTTCTGCTCGCCACACAACTTGCCGGTCTGAATTTATTCTGCATTCGGTTGAGGTTATATAACCCCTTGCTTACCCCTTGACATCGCATATCGCGCTGCATCCAGAATCCTTCACTCGAGCCTTACTCCTTCTCTCTCATGCTGATTAGCCTCTTTATTTACCCTCTGACACGAGTATACTACCCCCACCCCCTTTTTCTTCTTCCAACCAGGTCTGTAATCGGGACGCATTTTCCTTTCAGCCCTTCCAGCTCTTCCTCCAGTTTCCGCAGTGTCGCCTCTCAAGGGCGACCACTTCGCGTTGGAGTTACAAAGTTATCCTGATCTAAATCGAGTTTCGTATGTGTTGAGTGGCATTTACCATGGTTTCAGGCTGGGCTTCAACGAGGCTCCCCTTAAGCCAGCTAAGCGTAACAACAAGCTTACTCTAAACTTTCAATTCAAAAAGCA